GGAAGGAAGGAAGGAAGGAAGGAAGGAAGGAAGGAAGGAAGGAAGGAAGGAAGAAAGGAAATCTATCCTAGCTCAGTCAGTGGGGAAATCCTCTGGTCTCAGAGTGATGAACACTTCTTTCTAAGTGAGAAAGGTAGTAAATGTGTTTGTGTCAGGTCTAGCCCAAGGAACTCCAAGAGACAATACAAAATCAGTTCAGCTATGTTTATTAGCTACCACCTCTCCCAGACTGAAACCCCAGGTCCCAAGTCAGCCAGCCACAACAGTGTGAATTCCTCAGGGAGGTGCCAGTCTCATCCTTTTGTAGTTCCCACGCTCCTGCAGCGAGCTAAGAAAATGCTTATCTCCCTGAGCCTGCCCTTCATAATTCCATTCCATCAGAGTCTGGTTTTCATCATATTTGCCTAGCAAAGAGGCAGGCACCCAGTGCTGGCCTGCCCCTGCTGCAGCTGCTGCTACTGTGATGGGGTCTGCCAGTGTCATAGGGAAGAGGGTGGTAACGGGGGGTCCTCTCCCATCTTCTGTTCTAACTGGCCCATGTTCTGGACTACCCGATCCGTCTGAGTAACCACCTGACGTTGATACTGAAGCAAGGCATTGACTGACTGGCCAAGGATCAATACAGTCTCTTGAAAGTTAATAGCTATTATTCTGACTCCCAAGCAGGTGTGCAATGGCTCTCCTCACACTGTGGTGGGAGTGATGAGAAGGTAATCGAGCTGTCAGGCTCCCTGGCTCAAATGCAGCAGAGGCTACTCAGACACTTGACACAGCACAGCCAGACGAGAATCTTTAGTGCCTGCTAGAATGAAGCCACTGAAAGCGGTTGACTGCCACCTGCCAGCATGAGGGTACAAGCCATTCTGATCTCCGTAACAGTTTAAATCCAGTGCTTCTTTTTCTCACCTCTCCCTGCACTGCATTTCTCAGGCCATTGAGGGAATGGTTATTGACATAATAGGTGTTTCTGCCAAGGAAACCTCTGGCTCCCAAGATATCTCCCACAGGTAACTTTAAACCTTCCCGCTGCAGTGTAGGCCGCACACCATTTCATAGTCCAAAGCAAAAACTGCCTTGTGATATATCTGCCCTATACTTTGGTCCAATTATAATTTAAGGCAGTTGCATGGCTATCACAGAGACCAAAATATCCTAAACCAGCCCTATGAAGGCACTTTAGTATTTTTCTCCCATCATCCCAGCCACTAAATTTAAAGAATGGCAGAGTCCCAGAAAGTTTTAGATATCTTTTCTTTTTTTAAGACAGATATAAGGCCTGAAAAGGGGTAATATGCAGGAAAATCCTGGAAATCTTAACATGAACTGAGGCCCTAGGACTATACAGTAGTCTCAAAAGCTTTTAAGGAAGCCCTCATATTCTGCCATTGTTATGCTGATTGTGAGAGAAGAAAAAAAGAATCAAATGTATGAGTGGAGAGTAATCTTATTAATTATATTTAATTACATACTTAATTATATTTAATTTTAATGAGAGGTAAATAAAACAAGATCAGTTTTTTTCCTAGCCCCATCCACTATTTTTTAAAATTTATTTATACAAAATTTTATTAGAAACAAAAACAGTCAACATTATATTGTTTGTTTGTTTAATTTATCTCTGCCCATCTCCCCTAATGGGGGACTCTGGGCGGCTCACAAGATCCATTAAAACAATAAATATATATAAAATTACATAAAACATGAAAACTATGCAAAGCATAGTATATAGCAACTCATGCTCAAAATGTAAAAAATTAAAATAGAATAATAGAATAGCACAACATCCATAAGCATAACAAAAGAAACTTTGTTCCAGTACTAAGACAGTTACACAATTAGCCCTAACATACCTTTTATGCATGAATACCCCAATTAATCAACCCATAAATCACCATGGATCCTAGCAGGTTGGGTATTACAGTGTCACTATTGATAAAACCCAAAAGCTTTCACTATATTAAAGAAAAAATATCCTTACAATTAATATTTCTGCTCACCCGCATCTGATCAGTTCAAGATTTAGCCAAAGCCAGGTTCCAGATTCTCTTATACCACTGATTAATGGATCCTACTTCATTATTCCATGAGTGGGCTATAACTTGATGTGCAGCTATGAGGAGAAAAGTCAATAACTCTTTATATGATGGCTCTATATGTAAGTCATCAGAACCTGATCATAAGGCCAATAAAGGATTTGGGCTTATCTCTTTCTGAGTAACTCTACTCCAACCCACCCACTTCTTTTTGGAATATGGGATTTGACACGTTACTCAAAGGTTCAGTCTGAGCCTCAGCCCAGCATTATGGATTAACTTACTTTTATGCTTGCATGCCTGATTGCCCTGCATTCAGAACATATTACCAAAATTCACAGTTGACCCAAATTGTTCAGTACGCTGAATGCAAAATCCCTCATTGTAGGGAGTTAGGATGGAAATACGTGACACACTCAGCTGGCAGCAGCCCCTGGCTCCACAAACAGAGGGTTGTGTTGAATATGGCGGTAGTTGGATTCCTTTGCCATTCCTCCATAGTTACTCCCCCACATTCCCATCCGCTAGCCATTGGAGAGAGAGGAACCTAGGAAGGAAGCTGCCTTATTCCAAAGGTCCATCAAGCCCAGTGCTACCTACACTGACGAGCATATGGGCGTCACCTTCATCCCAGCTGGAGAGGCTGAGGTTGAATCTAAGACCATTTAAAGCAGACTGTCTGCCGCAGAGTTACAGCCATTTCCTAAAACCTCATCTAGACTCCCTTTTGGATGACTGTCCTAGACATGCATAAACGCCACAAACAACTTCCTGTTTCAGAGTCATCACTTCTGGGAAACAATAAAGCACTCCTGGAGCAGC